ACGTAATCCTTTTTATTTTTTCCTTTTTATTTTTTTTTAAAGCTTACAAATCTTTCCGTCTCTCGTCACCTTTTTTTTTGCTTTCTTCTACTTTATTTATTTATTTTTCTTATTTTCCTACTAATATTAACATTTTCTTCTCCTTTCTTGAACTCAATTTCTTCCCCTGCTTGCCTTCGGTACAGATTACGATAAGATTAGTCACGTGACCAAACACACTTTCCTTACCCCGTAAGTAAGGAGGTTTTGTAATATAAGGTACAAAAAAGACATTGTCCATATACTGCGACTGCCGTTATGGGTTATATATATATATATATATATATATATATATATATATATATATAGTGTCTTTTTCTTGTTAAAATTTTTTGTTTGAATATATTTTTCTACATTCTCGAAAACTTTTCTTTTTTTCTAATTAAAACATAACAATCCCAACATGAGGCACGGTTTTAAATAACCCTCTGGGAACATTACAGAAAAACTATATTGTGACGACACCTTATTAAGAGCATTTTAAAAAACAAAACAAAAAAAAAAAAAAATTCTACCAACTAAAACAGATAATTATTAACATTTTTTTTATTTTTTTTACAAGGCATTTCGTAATATGAATGATGATAAAACTTACCTTTCTCTCTCTTTTTTCTTTTAAACCTTCTGCCCCTCTCCCTCATATTATCATTATCCCTCTCCCTCTATCTTTTCTCTTTCTAATATTTCCTTTTAAGACAAGTAAAAGACCCTTCAGGTCCTTTTGACAACCCAACTCAGTAGACAACATGACGATTATGCAAGCGAAGAAGGGGGTTACCATTGACTGTTGGGAAACAGGCTCCCGACTTCAACATAGCAGTGCCACCCGCTGATGAAGCAGTAGTTGATTTAACTCTCTCACTAGAGATGGGATGCTATCTAACAACAACACAGGCCTGTAAAATCATTCATGATATAACACGGCTGCTGTCGACTACACATACGACAAGGACAGTAATAAAAAAAACAAATCAGCCCTTTTTTTTTGCCCCTTACTTTTGCCTTTCGCTAAATTCTTTCACCATTAAAAACAAAAATTCAAAGTACAATGAATGCTTACTGCCAATATTAAGGTTCAGATATAATTTTCTCTCTTATTAAAACAAGTATCTGTTCATGTCTTGTCTTAAATTCTTCTTTTGCATTGTGGAAATGTCTTAAAATGTTTTTCAGCATCACAAGTTTTCTTTTTAGAATATCGAAAACAAAACATATGGTGAGAATCAAAAGCAACAGAAACGAAGCTGTGGAGAGTCATGATTGCTTATTTCCTTAAGGAACTATAGCAGAGAGAGAGAGAGAGAGAGAGAGGGAGAGAGAGAGAGAGATAGATAGAGAGAGTCAAATTCTGATTACAACATACATTTAATTTTAATTTAATTTTTAAAACATTCTCCCAACCCTCTGGACTGAACAATATGGCCACGTGGTCTTCATATTTTATAAACCCTATCTATCTATCCCTGTTCTTATCTATCTATCCCTGTTCTTATCTATCTATCTATCTATCCCTGTTCTTATCTATCTATCTATCTATCTATCCCTGTTCTTATCTATCTATCTATCTATCTATCTATCTATCCCTGTTCTTATCTATCTATCTATCTATCTATCTATCTATCTATCCCTGTTCTTATCTATCTATCTATCTATCTATCTATCTATCCCTGTTCTTATCTATCTATCTATCTATCTATCTATCTATCCCTGTTCTTATCTATCTATCTATCTATCTATCTATCTATCTATCTATCTATCCCTGTTCTTATCTATCTATCTATCTATCTATCCTTGTTCCTTTCTATCTATCTATACATGCTCATAGCTGTCTAAAAAATTATTTAAATACTTTTTTTATTAAATTTTTTCCTTATTTTTCTTTATATTTTTAAAGGGGTATAGATGCTGTTATGTTGAAAATAGATTGGTTCTATCCTTAAGCATTCTAACGGGTTTTTACTTTGGTTGAATTTCATGAAAACTACTTGAAGTATAATGCTTGGGCTTTAGAGGTATTAGAAAGTACCTTTTTAATGTTTTGTTTTTCTTTTTTTCTTAAAATTGCCAAATTCTGTGAATCGAAAGTTGAAAATCTGGATCTGTATAACATTGGACATACATATTTGTTACTGCGACCTTGAAAACCAATTTCAAGACCATAAATATTCTCTGATGTGGAGAATCAGATTTTAAGAAAGAAAGTCACCATGGTACCCTTACTGTTGCTGATATTAGTGCCTTTGTTGTTGTTGCTGTTGTTGTTAAGAAGAAAACGAAAAAGATTTTAATCCATTTCAATACTTTACTCTTTTTCTTATTTCCGATCCTTTCTCTTTCACTGTCTTTCTCTCTCTCTCTCTCTCTCTCTCTCTTTCTCTCTCTCTCTCTCTCTCATTCTGATTATGTGTCTTGGCTTAATGAAATACAAATGAGTTTTGAAATATTAGACCAGAAAAATGAGAAATAGATTGATTGTGTCAATTCAAGAACTTGTGCCCTCGACTACCCCCTCCTCCATTTTTATCTTCCGTCATGTTTCTCCTCATCATTTCTTAGTTGTGCTGGGTGGTTTTGCAGGCACATGTATGTATGCAGGGACATGTGCAGATGTGTGCAGGGCAGGGCAGTATGGGGCAGGGTAGTAAGTAAGAGACAGACAGAGATGAAGTGGGGAGAGAGAAAGAGAGAAGCATGATAAAAAAGAGGAAAAGGGAAATTACACATAAGTGTAAAGAGAAAGAGTGGTGTGAGAAAGAGAAGGAAGGAGCAAAAGATGAAGAAAAATGGAAAGAAATCAAGAGGTGGGGAGAAATGAAAAAGAATAGATAGTGGAGAATGAAAGAGAGAAGAACAAAAAGAGAAAAGGGATAGAGTGAGAGTAAAGCTGAAGTAAAAGAGAGAGAGAAGTGTAAAAGTGAGAAAGGACATGGGGGAATAAGGGAGGGAGATTGGATATCGTGAGAGATGATAAAGAATGATCGGAAGAAAGAGTGGAGAAGGTGAGAGGCAGTAAAGAAAGAGTGTGGAGAATGAGAGGGAGAGAGTAAAGAAAGAAATCAGAAGAGAGAGTGGAGAATGAGAAAGAGAGAGTGAAAAAAGAAATAGGAAGAGAGAGTGGAGGAAGAGAGAGAAAAAAGAAAGAGGGGATAACGTGAGAAAGAGTAAAAAAAGAGATTGAATGATGAAAGAGGAAGGAGAACAAGAAAGGGAAAGAGATTGGAAAATGTGAGAGATAGTGGGGAATGAGAGTAAAAATCAAGAAACAGTAGTGGACAAGAAGGAGAGAGAGGGTGAAGAATGAGAGTGCAAGAAAAGAAAAAGCGAAAATGGTAAAGAAGAAGAAAAAGAGAGAATGATAGAGAGCAGAATAGTGAAATTAGTAATCTTGGTGCAACAGACCAAGTTGAGAATTAACAAGAAATCATAAAAAAAAAAAAAAAACGAAAAAAAAAAAAAACAATATATACTGATAACACTAACTGGTGTTGGAGTAGAAAATGATTGTGAAAGTGAAACAAAAAAACAATGAAAAAAGAATTTTATAACACTTTTTGAATGAAAATTAGAGATGAGTGTTTTTACATAAGAGATGTAACAATATTAAAATAAATAAAAAAATGCATATTTTACTTACAAGTTAAATATTAACTCCGAAGAACAAAGTTAAGATAAGATTTGCTAACTTTGAAAAGAAAGATTTGTGATGGTAACTATACAAAAAGGACATTATCTAAAAGATCCTTACCATACTATTAACACTGTTCCTCAATGCAAATATTTTCACTAATAAAACATTAAACATAGCAATATATACAATAAGTTAACATAATAACCTCAGTGGTTGAATTAGTTGCATGGCTGATGGTAGTAGTAGTAGTAGTAGTAGTAACAATAATAATAACAATGGAGAATAAATTGCACTGTGATAGTTGTAATAGTTACTGAAAAAAGATACAGCAGTCAAATTAGAATGTGTACAAGAAAAGCTAAAAGTAATAAAATAATTGTAAGTAATGGAAACACAATATATAATGATTTTAAATGGGTTCAAGTAGTCTCATAAGTAACAGAACTACTATTACTAATGGTTTCAGCTTATAGCAGCTATAGCAGTAGTAGTTATAGTAATAATGATGACTATACAAATTACAGTTTGATGTTTATAAAGTAGTAATAATAAGTAATGGTGATAGTAGTTGTAGTAATAGCAGTGATGCTTACAGTAATAGCAGTAGTAGCAATAGTGATGATTGTAGTAGAAATAGTAGTAAAAATAATAGCAACAGTGATGAGAGAAGTAGCAGTGGTAACAGTGATGATTGTAGTAGTAGTAACAGTGACAGTTATAGAGAAATAGTAGTAGTAATTGTGATGTAATAGGAAAGGTAGCAGTATTAGTCAAAGATATAACTATAGGAATAATAGTAGTAGTAGTAGTAATAAGAATGATGTGATAGTAGTAGCAGTAAAAGTGATTATATAGAAGTAGCAGTAGTAAGTATGGTGGTTACAGTAGCGGTAGTAGTGGTAGAAAAAGTGGTGGTTGCAGTAGCAGTAAAAGTGGTGGTTACAGTAGAAGAAGTAGTAAGAGAGGTAGTTATAGTAATAATAGTAAGAGTGGAGGTTATAGTATTAGTAGTAACAATGGTTATTATAAGAGCAATAGTAGTAGTAACAGTGATTTGATAAATGTAGCAGTAGTAATAGTAATGAATTGTTACAGTAGAAGTAGGCATAGTGATAATAAGGTATATGCAGTAGCAGTTGTTTCTAACAGCAATAGGGGCAGCTGCTATAATAGTAAGGTGGTTGTAGTAGTAGCTATAATAGTTAGTAGTAGTAGTAGTAATAGTAGTAGTAGAGATCAATATTAGATAAGCCACGAATTAACAACCCCTAATGACAGCAGAAGAAAGAAAGAAAGAAAGAGAAAAAAGTAACTATTTAATTTCCTAATGGGA